CTTTCACCTAATCTCTCCCAACCTCTAACTCCTCCACTTCAGTCAGTCTTGCTAACCAAACATCTCACCCTTCATCTTCTCATCCTGTTTCTCACTCTGAGACATCATCCTCAGAGCTAACACACACCATCACCTTTTTATTCCCATAACACTCATTCAATGACCACCAGAGCCAAAGATGACATTGTTTTCCCTCGCCTACATTCCACTCTTCTTATAATTGAGCTTGATCTTACTTCTTATAAAATTTCTCTCAAAGATCCAAATGGCTACAAGCAATGACAACTGAGTATGAAGCCTTTCTCAACAATAAAACTTTGAGTTTTACATCTTTTCCTCTCAATAGAAATGTTATAGGATTAAGTAAAACCATGATGGCTTTATCCAAAAATACAAAGACAAACTTGTGGCTAAGGGTTACAATCAGGTTTAGGGGTTTGACTTTCAAGAAACCTTTTCTCTAGTGGTAAAACATGTCATTATCAGAGTCATTCTCTCCTTGGTAGTTTATAACCAGTGGCACATCTCACAACTTGATGTGAAAAATGCTTTCTTAAATGGGCTTCTTGAAGAAGACTTTTACATGTAACAACCTCTAGGGTTTGTTTACAATAATCCCTCTCTTGTACGCAAATTGCACAAGGCTATCGATGGCCTCAAACAAACATCTAAGGATTGTTTTGAGAAACTTACCTCCACACTTCATTAGTTTGGCTTTCAAACTAGTAACTGTGACCCCTCTTTCTTTAAACTCACAAAACCCTCTTACATCATCTTCATGTTGGTCTATGTTGATGACATTATAGTCATTGGCTCTAAGAGTCATATACAACAACTTGTTTCTCATCTCCATGACCAGTTCTCACTCAAGCAACTAGGGAATCTTGATTACTTTTTTGGTAATAGAAGTCTCTCATTAACTCTAATGGTAACCTATTTTTGTCTCAAACTAAGTACATCAAAGATATTTTGGCTAAAACCAATATGAGTAAGGCTAAGAGTCTCCCCACACCTATGGTCTCCAACCTCAAACTCACAAAAATGGGCTATGACTATCTACAGGGTCATATATACTATAGATTTGTTGTGAGAACCCTTCAGTATGCTACATCACAATACCTGAAATTAGTTTTTTTGTTAACAAAGTATGCCAATTTCTATTTGGAACCTCTAGAAACCCATTGGAATGCTTTCAAGAGAATTCTCAGATACCTCAAAGGTACCCTTCATCATGGTTTATTCCTCACTCTAGTAATCCTCACAAACCTCTTCCTATCACTGCTTTCTATGATGCAGATTAGGGCTTAGGCCATGATTATAGGAAATATACATTTGGATCTTGTGTATATTTGGGACCTAACTTAGTCTCTTGGTGGTCTAAGAAACAAAACCTAGTGGTCAGGCCAAGTACTGAAGCAAAGTATACTCTGACCAATATAGCAACAGAAGTACTCTAGCTTCATTCCTTCCTTGCAGAACTCAAAATGCTCACTCTCACTCCTATTTTGTATTCTGACAATCAAAGCATTATGTCTCTATCTCACAACCTTGTTTTTCATTCTAAAACTAAGCACATGGATAAGGGCATCTTCTTTCTTAGAGAGAAAGTTATCAACAAGATACTTCTGGTTAAGCATATTTCAGCCACTCATCAATATGATGACCTTCTCACCAAACCCTTATCTTCTATGAGGTTTCTTGATCTAAGATATCAGCTCAAGGTAATGGACAAGTCAACATTGACTTATGGAATCTTAATTCAAATTCCCTCACCATTTAAAGGGAAGATATTATACTGTACTAGCAGTGGCACAAAGCAACTATACTTTACAAATATAAAGTGAGTTGCAACAAGGTTAGATAAGTTGTTAGAATATGTATAAGTTAGTTACACATTTGTGAGCTAGCACTAAGTTTCTTATTCTTAGTGAACACTCTCTTTTTCCTTATAAACAAGTTCAACTCACCTATTGTAACTAATGTCACTAAACTATCAATAACACAATTTTTCTCTATCTCTGAATCAATGATGAAGCATGCTTCATCTTCTCTATTTTTCTATTAATGTCTTTGGTATAGGACATTCTGGTTTCAAATAAACTTGAACAAAATATTGTGTTTTTGAAAGTCTCCCAATACACATGATGCGTCTGGCATATAACTCTTTCGTAAAATTATACCATTCAATGCATCTATTATCTTTTCCAACACCACACAAGGTTTGACCATTTTTCTAATCTTCACCATTGATTCGTTTGGTGCCTACTGCAGGTTTTAGTCGACTTCTCACATTTTTGGTTATGTGATACTTACAAACTAATGCATAAGGTGTAGGAAACATCGTTGCAACTAAATTCATCAGTGTGATGTCGCGATCGATGAAAATTACATTTAACATGTTTTCTTGGTCCTTCATCATAGTTTTGAACATTTCCAAAGCCCGTGTAACATTGTCCTCTTTTTCCGATTCCAAAAATGCAAAATTAACTGAAAAAGTCATCTCTGTAGAAGTAGTACCAACAATTTCCAGGACTGGAAGCCTATACTTGTTTGTTTTGTATGTTGAATCAATTGTGAACAAAATGAGAAATGTGTTGAATAACTTGATGGAATTGATGAGTTCAAAATATATCACGAACTGTGAGTTTACCCTCACAAACTTTGTACCTAGAAATAGTGGTCATCTTTCAAAAGATTCAACAGTTATTGCATTTCATATCTTTAACCTCTTATCGCCTTGTTGTTTCAGGCACACACATTGTATACTTGTTTGATATTTGAAATATTTTGAGGTCTTTTGCGTTTCAAAGTTGCAAGTATGTTTTTCGGAGCCACCATGTTTAATGTTATATCCGAAACAAGTTTTTTCTTCTTTGAAATAAGGCTACATACAATGAAATGACTGACTAACTTCTCACTCAATGTATGATTATGTATTTCAGAAACCACATTAAATTTTCATGTATTATTCGCCTTACGGTATATGTTCGCGAATAATAAACTCTTATTTATTTGTAAATTGTTCAACATTAAACCATAGCCAAGCCTTTTGATTATAACGTCAAACCCTAATTTTATGGCATCCATGCGGACCCACTATAGCATATGTTCACGAACAATAAACCATTGTTTATTTGTAAATTGTTCACGAACATCTACCTCGATAACAATCGATCTAACACCTGATTTAACATCTTTTGGTTTAACATCATCCTTCACTTCATCTGATTTAACATCATCCTTCACTTCGTCCAATTTAATATCCATTCTCACTGTAACTTTGGGAAACATATTTGAGTACACCATATCTAATACCAACAATGACAGAAAAAACAGATTAAAAGCTCAAAGTAACAAATACATTCGGAGATGGATCTCCAAAACAAATGAAACTGAGTCTGAAGATGCATATGCAGATTCAAAGTTCATTTTTCAGCTCAAAACTCACATTAATGCAAGAAAGGGATGAAATAAATGAACTTCACCTTAAATTTCAGCTTCTTTTACTTCCTTTGATATGATAAAATACAAGAATGATGTTTCGGTGTTGAAAAATTAATTGAGAATGGAAGATTTTTTTTAAAGTTATTGAGAGTAAAGCTCCCTTTGATCATGAGGAAAAAGAACATGCAAGGTGGTGTTTTATCCAATTTCCTGCTTGATATTTTCGAATATGCATCTTCGGAATCATCACAGAGTTGTTAAATATACCAACTCAGTGAATAAAAAACACCATAAATGAGTTCATGAGATGTTACAGAGGTGTATCTTCGAATATACTCCAAATAATATACGGAGATGCATCTCCATAAAAGATTTTGGAAAAAATGAGATGGGTGACTAAAATGAGAAGACTTGTGTGATTTTAGATGTGCTCAGAGATGTATCTCTAAATGCAACAAGGACATTTTCGAATTTCAAAAGTGAGGGACGCACCCTATGAGATGGTACGAGGATTTCCCTTAACAAATTCATTCAAACTGGATACTATGCTCATGACTCCCTTTCTTTTTTCTATAAGTCTGCTTGTAAGGCAGAAGGCTTGACCTGAGTATATTTGTAAGTTTCACATTTAGATTATTTGAAGAGACAAAAAAAATTGTCACCACATTATTTATTAATTTAGAAAACATATAACTTAACATCCAAAAGATTGGCTTTTGGTATTATGTGAAATAAAGGATTTGTAGATTCTCTTGTTATCCAATTACAATTCTTGGAATTTTAATTGGTCAAATGTGTTACAAGCAAAAAATAACATATGTGCCTTACAATATAAGTCTGAAACAGAGGAATATGATGAAGTGTGTCCTGTCAAGTCTATTTAGCTTTATGCTTATCAAGACTGAGAAGAGATGCATCTTAAAAGTCTACACATCAAATGGCATAACCTAGAAAAGAAACTTTTTATTTTCAAAAAGATATTTCTGCGTTTGGAATATTTCCAATATTAACAGAGACAAAAGGCTACCCTGGTAATCTTCCATTTTTATCTTATTATATGTTTCCTTTCTGTGAATGAAGATAAAGATTGAACCCAACAATATCTGAAACACTTGAAACTTATCAAAAGAAAATACATTAATGATTTCATTTACTACATCAAGATGTTGATTTTACAGGCCATAAAAATGCATATGTTACTTTGAATCATTTAACATACAGAAACTCACTCAATATATTCACCTTAGAACAGACATCATTTACCTGAGGAGTGGAGAATTCAGCTTCCCTGCAATCAGAGGATCCCGCATTCATGCAGAAGGAGACATTAGTGGTCATTTGATCAAAGATCAGACGACTAAAAAAAATATATAGTTTAACTTTAAAATTTTATAGTTCAAAATATCAACTTTAAATTTGAAGCATTCGATCTTGACCAAACATCCACCGACATCCCGACCGCATGAATGCAGAGAATCCCAACTATTGGACAGCCAGATCCGTGGAATAGTGGATAGGGGCGGATAAGTTATCCTGGATACAGTTCATGTGAGAGACTACCAAACTAACCCCTTTCTTCTCCTAAATCTATCAACATGATCTGTGCTCATTCGAGATTTTTCTGGTTTGTCAGGTTTTTTAGACTTTTTAAGCCGGCTATCTAAACTGTTTCTAGAAGCTTCAGGAATTTCTGTACTCAATTCAGAAGTACTAGAAGTTCCAGTTTCAGATTCTTTGCTAGCTTTGTTGCCTTGATTCTCAGTTTCTACAGTATCCTTTTCAGAACCATTTGCTGTAGTTGCTTTAGGTTTTCCAACTGTCTGTACATATTTCTTTAGGTGTTTAATGAACTCGGGGTAAAGCTCGAGATTACAATGTCCACCGCCACTCACCCACAAGGGCTCATACTTTACCTTGCAAAGTTCCCACAGCTGTTTTCCATGGGACACATCTACAACTTCATCTGCTGTACCCTGACCTTGGACAAAATGAAATCATTACTACAATCCATGAAATTCTGAGCAGATTAATAACAGATTACATATTTGGGGGCGGGAGAGGGAGAGCGTTACTTACATGGATAACCAAAACAGGACATTTGACCATACCAATTTTATCAATATTCTGAAAGAAGTAAAAACGAACCACATAAGTCACGAGGTATTGAATGAAGCATGTTGAAATACAATTCTGTAAAACTCTACCTTGTAAATATCAAACCAATATGTTCGTTTTACAGGGTATAGTACTCTCAGCCCTGACAAAATTGGGCTATGCAACACAACACCTCTCAATTCTGATATCCTTGAAGCAAGATCAAGTGTGGGACCACTACCAACAGATTGACCATACAATATCAATTGTTCATCTTTTACCCCGTATTGCTCCTTCAGGCATTTATATGCAGCTTCAATATCTGCGTATGTATTATATTCAGATGGCTGTTTCAAAAAAAAAAGGATGACTGTCAACATACAAGCAATGTCACTCTGAAAGAACCTTCAAGGACATAATAGTATTACAAAAAGAAAAGTAGTTTCTTTATTTAATGGATATTAACTTAGTCATTGGCTTATATAATAGCATGCAACTGATATCCTTGCAAGTTCCACGAATTCGAGGTTCGTGTTCACAGCCAAAATTGCGAAGAATTGGCAACCTGCAAGGTTACAAAAACGTACTTGCCCATTATCTAGACAAAACTCAAATAGATGAACCACATAACCTCAACACAAAATTAGGATAGATTGACTTTCTAAACCTATGGCTAGCACTTAGAGCATGATTCAATCAAAGAGCTCACGGATGGCAAATCTAGAAAGCCTGTTCACTGAAGCCTGGCTCAAAATGTCTAATTGTGTGGATGAGCTATATGTGGCCCAAAAATGCTTTTAGGGTTTAAAATGAATGCGTTGATTTTTGTCTCATAGTGATATTTTAAGCTGGGTATCAAGCTTTTGGCAAAGGCTCCGATTTGTATTTGAAAAGTAATTTTGTGTGGAATGTTCTTTATAGGTCTAAAAAAATTAATAACCAATTGTTGGGTATTGCAACCTTTTTAAACTTTGCAAAGTAGTGTTTTGCTATTACTTGCATGACTTCATTGACTTGTAGCCATGTAATCCACGATCTTGAGTACAAGATTATAACAGGTTCATTTGAAAAGCAAGAAAAACCTCATTCAACTGTGTCGAAACAGAACATAGACACAAGAGCTTTTGAGCAATGAATAGCAATCTTAATTTTGTTTAGAAAAAACTTAGACTAGACTTATTGAGAGAGTTCAAGAGAAATTCTAAATACAGGGCAACACTTTCAGCTGATGACATATGTATGTGTGTTTGGATGATTATTTGTTAAATGTGATTTTGAACGAACTTATTTTTGGTTAAAATTGAATCTGAATTTGAATAATTTCTGTTGGGTTTGTTTTAATCTAAAAGTAAGTTGGATATATAACCTAGTAAAAAGTTTGTGTTAATGCAATCACTTCTAGTGAAATTAAGGTTTGGAGGAAAAATCAACTCTGTTGACAGGTACCAAACAATTGTATTTTTACTAAAATTGTGTTTAACACAAGGCAAACTCAATTCTGATACTCTCTAGTCGACCATAAAACCAAATACACGCTTAAGTTCTGTGCACTCTGCAAATTTGGGCAAATCGTGTATAGAAAGTAACTGATAAACTACAACATTTTCTGGAAAATATAGAATTTTCCATATTCCAAATGCTCTACCTCTTATCTCATTGCATATTAATCCCTCTCCAGCTTATTCTCTGCCTTCACTTTCCACTTCTTCCCCTTCTCCATCTCTACACCTGAACTCATGCTTCCCAGCACGCCTGATCCAACCCTCTCGTTCTAATATTATTCTCAATAGTCCCCATATTTCCTAGTCTACTCATCTCATGTATATACGTGCTACAGATATAGAATTGTTCTACCTCGTTTCACAAGAGATTTTTTCAGAAATGGTTAAACTAATACAGTTCACATCATTCTTACACTGGCTTTAGCTCTTCAGTGGCCAGTTCAAGTACTAGATGTGAATAACACCTCCTATATGGCTACCTTGACGAATACATCTATACGCAGCAACTAGCAACTTCCAGACTTTGAGTCCACCGACACATCAATATTTTACAAGCTTCAGAAAGTTTATATGGACTGAAATAGGCCCTTTGTGCCTAGTTTGTGAGACATTAATTGCACCCACTAATATTGAAACGACGAACATTTTAAATGATGGTAAAAATATAATTTGATTTAAACAATAAATACACCTTGAACGTTGTAACTTTTTCTTATAAATGGAATCAAAAAAATCATCTAAAAAACCCCTAATAGTAAGAACCAGAGGGAGTGTCATATAACAGGTACTAATTCAGCCTTAATTGAGCAACTCATTGTTAAGCTAAATGATCTCTTCTGTTTTAATTGAGCAATTTGTGTTCTTAATATCATCTTGGCATAGAGGTAAAAAACCTGCCTACCAGCTATATCTCTAACTCACCAGAACTAAATACATTTGGGATTTGCTCACTTAAACCAATATGGCTTATGCCAAATGCATTTCAACATCTATGGTAGGTGGTTGCAAGATCAAAAAAACTGGTACAGCTAAGTAGTGAACAAGTGTCTATAGATCAGTTGTGCAGCCTGATTAAAAAACCCTGAAATCATGGAAAATGCAGGTTCCGGAGGTTGGTGCATAAAATGGTTATCCAATTGTTATGGATAATGCAGCAAACCACAAAGTAGTCAAAGAGACCTTGATGGAGAAGGGTAAGAATTTATACAGAATGCCATGCGAAGATCATTGCATTGAGTTGACATTGGAGGATTTTAAGACTACTTTATCAGCTTCAAAGGCCAAACACTATTTCAGGTCAAGATAAGATGTACGTAGGAAGAAACTTGAACCGATATGAATTTGCTAAACATAAATATAGAAAAATTTGACTAAATGAATATATTAGTATTAATAGAGTGATAGACTCATAGGCTGAAAAGTTAAACAACTAACCTTCCCTGTCGACTGTCCATAACCAGAGTAATCATATCTGGAGGAAGAAAATATGATTAATATATAATATAATTCAACAAAAAGATATAGAGCACTATCATGAAAGAAGATTTTGAAAGAGAGCATGAGAATATTTCATATTTTATACAATTGAGAATAAGAAAAGCATTATTACTTTAAGATTGAAACTTATTACTTTGGTACTCCCAATCACAATTTTATGTTGCTAAACATAAACCTTTTTGAAGAAACTAAAGAATGAATCTCCTCAAGTGATATCTTGGAACTGCAATAGTCTAATGATAAAACAATATTAAGCAAAAACAATAAAAAAATAAATTTTTCATCAAAACAAGAAGTTCGCACAAGTATAAAACATAGTCGATCTATGTATACAATATAATACAGAAGTTTGATTCACTAATCATCAGGTGCTAATTCAAAAATAGTAACAGAAAGATAGATAAACATGTAAGCATTTATTCACTCAATCTTTTCTATAAAAAAAAAGTATTGTGCTATAATTCATCTAAACAAGAAAAGAATGAATGATGTGTATGATGTGATGTATCTTAAGGAATCAAATTTGGTATCACTGTAGTAGACATCTTCAATAAAAAGTTAGATCCTTTCCTCTTTTATAACCGATACCATCATTAAGATAGGAAACTATAATTTACCTAGAAATGATTGAAACCTGCCTTAAAGCATTTGTTCCATGATCAGAATTTCAAAACCACCACAAAAAGCATCTTTACTAATTTCTTTACCAATTTCAAGCATAAAGTATTTGATTAAAAAACAAAGAGAATCAATCAATCATAACATACACACAAAACAACAACAAAGGTTTTAAAAAACAATCCGCGACCGCGAAAACAGCCATGACAAAACGGTACACGCAGATGCCGATAGCGATACCGTTATTCCCCATTTTCATGTTAAAGATCAAATTGTGGTTTATTCACACCGCAACGACCGCAATCAATGTCGCAACACCTGTACCGACCGAAATCACGAAAGCCTAGAAGCGACCATGACCGATTTATAAAACCCAACAACATGCTAGTCTCTCACTATAGCAAGATCCAAAAGAAGGGCTGCACCCATTGCAGATCTACTATAAGCAATCTTACCTCAAAAAGATACCAAATCGATAATCTCCTAATCACACAACAAAAACAACTTCAATAGTTTCACCAAATCTCTATTCCCTTTAATCCGTTAATTAATTAATTAATGAAACTAAAAAAGGAAAATCAATTAATGAACAAAAACAGCACTTTCCCATTCCATTATCATCATAGATAATCACCCAATTATTGCAAAAGAAATCATTAACATCTATCCTAATCCTAAGATCATTAATATTTGACTTTAATCATAATAGGTAACCATCATATAGCTATAAAAAAAATCCATAAAAATCTTGTAAGAAATTAAAACAGTTAAAAATAGAAAGAGGAAAAAGGAAAGTACCCCATAACATTGAGGCGAAGTCTATTACTCAATTCAACGAAGAGTTCAAACATTTGACCTAAATCAGCGGCATTTCCATGAGAGTAAAGCATGGTGCATGTAGGTCTATGGTACTTAACATACACCGCCGCGATTTCGTTTCCTCTCCTTGTCTTAAGCTTCACTATATCCACGTTGTCCTTCATCGGAACCTCCGGAATCGAGAGCTTCGTCGCCGGAGAATCATTTCCGGTGGATGTTTCAGAAACGACAACTGTGTACGACGGGGGTTGCGGCGGGAAGAAAGCGAACTTAGCAGCAATCGAGGACGTTACTCCGCCCATGGTTGCTTTGATTCATAAAGACGGCGGTGACGGCGGTTGCGGCGGTGAGATTTCAGATTTAGAAAGAAAGAAAAAACGGCGCGTGAAGTTGTTGTTTGTGTTGGTGTAATAATTTTAAGTTTTTCTATAATTATTTTTATGTTACTAATTTTTTTTCTTTCTGAATTTTTCAAATTGAAAGAGAAAAGAAGAAGAAAGAAGAAAAAGAAGAAGAAGAAAGAGACTATTCAATGATGTGTTGTATTGTATAGTATTTGTCGACTCTTTGCTTCTTGCTTTATTTTTTTTAAAATTTAATTATTGAGTTTTTATTGCATGATGGGAGGAAACAACGATAATAGTAATTTTTATATATGTGGATAGTGATAGGAGAGACTAATCTCTCTAATTTAGAAAGACAAAAAGAAATTTCCTTCAAAACAATTTAACACTATTGGATGAGTGGAGGTGAATTCGAACTCAAACAGTTAGTTAACTATTAGGTAAATTATGGTGTATATATTTCTTTTAAATTAAAAATATTTATTTAAGAAAAAAGAAAATAGAAAATAAAGACATAAATTATATTTTATTATTAAAAAAGAAACGTTAATTACAATTTTGATTCTCTTATTTTTATTTTTTTTAGTTTTGATTCTCTTATTTTAAAATTCAGGATTTTTGTTACTCTATTTTTAATTTTTTTGAGTTTTGTTCCTCCTATTTTAAAATTCAGAATTTTTGTCCTTCTATTTTCATTTATTTTTTTAGTTTTAATCTCCTGTTTTAAGTTTTATTTTGAATTTTAGTCCCTCTTTTCAATTTGGAACTAATTTAATTGGGGGACCAAAAGTTTTAAAAAATAAAAATAAGGGGACCTAAACTAAAAAATAGAAATAGAGGGACAAAAATTTCGGATTTTAAAATAGGAAGATCAAAACTTAAAAAAATTGAAAATAGAGGGACAAAAATTCCAGATTTTAAAATAGGGGGTCAAAACTAAAAAAAATGAAAATAAAGGGACCAAAATTATAATTAAACCAAAAACAAAATACTATAATATTCATAATTAAAAATTGAATTTTTTATACAATAAATTACTTGTGACTTAAGTAGCTAGCATGACAAACTAACTAACTTTCTAACTAAGTAACTAACTAACTTGAATTATATCACAACATACCCCCTTCTAATACAAGTTGCTAAACACAAGCTAATCGATTTGAATTATTCCTAATTTCTTTTTCAAAGTTAGGGATATGTTGCTCTTTAGTCATTTGGTGAAAATGTCGGTAAACTATTTCACTCGAGTAATGTCTCACTTCAAGTTCACCTTGATTTACCTTCTCCCTTAGCAAGTGAAATTTAGCCTCAATGTGCTTACTCCTTCCATGCAAAACTGGATTCTTTACAAGATTGATGAATGATTTGTAATCGATGTTCAACACCAAAGGTTTCTTTACTTTAACCTTTATCTCATCTAACACAAATCTGATCCATATTGCTTGGCAAACATCATAGGATCCTGCTATATACTCAGTCTCACACAATGATAATGTCACCACAAGTTGCTTTCTCAGCACCATGAGATTTGGGCACCAAATACTTGAAAGAAATAACCAATTGTGCTTCTTCGCTCTAAAGGTGTGAGAAAATACAAGAAGGGGGGGGGTTTGAATTGGGTTTTCAAAAATGAAAGCTTTTCATGAAACTCAAACAAAGATCACAAATAAACTAACAAGAGAGAAAGACACAAGATATATCATGGTTCACTTGAAAACTATCAATTTAATCCAGACCATCCGCCAAGGTGATTTCGCCTTATACACAAGGACTTAATCTAATATAATCAACTGACTACACTACACAAGCAACCGCTGGTGACTGAAGAGTTGATCACTAGGTCTTCAGAGTCTTCAGAACTTGTTCACCAAAACCTTGTCTTTAGAACTTTAAGCACACAGTCTTAAGAACCCTTGGTCTTTAGTAACTTAAGTCTTCAGAGTCTTCAGAACATCGTTCAGTAGAACTTTGTTTTCAGAGTCTTCAGCACTTAATCTTCAGAAACTCAAGTCTTCAGAGTCTTCAGAACTTTGTTCAGCCGAACCTTGTCTTCAAAGTCTTTAGCACTTAGTCATTAGAAGATAATGACTTCAGAAGCTAGACAACCTTCAGAAGTAAAACATTAGAGTCACGCTCAGAGGAAGAAACCAAGAGAACATTGCAGCAGTAACATATTTTCTTCTCAAAATGTTTTTGAATGTGAATAGATCAGAAGTAGACTTGCTTCTTATGGAGCAGAAACGACTTTGGTCAAATCAGAGTGACGTTGCACGTGGTCTCTATTAGAGTCAGAGCTTTCTCTATCAGAGTTAAAACCTGTTTGTTAATTCTTTAGAAAAACAAATGTTAGAGTACCAAAATTGCTCTCACACAAATACTACTTTGTTATTATTAAAACATAGAGATATCTGGCAGAACCAAATCTTGTTTTAACAATCTTCCCCTTTTTGATAATGACAAAACAATGTATTTTTATGACATAATTTTGTACGAAGATAATCAATAGAAAATGATAGACATAAGTTCATAAGTAACTCCCCTTTATCAAACTCCCCCTGAATCTAAGACTTAAAAAAATCTTATCAGATTTGGGATACCAGAGCCTGATTATAAAGATCTTATCAGATTCAGAAATCAGAGCCTAATAATATACTAGAGCCTGATTTCCAATATATCAATTCTTGAAAAACATTCTAAGAAAAATTATGTGCAATTAAAAAGTTAGAATGTCAGAGTTATGATTCAGAGACAAGGTATTCTTATCAAAATAATTTTCAATTAATATACTCCCTTTTTGTCATAATAAAAAAGGTAAATAATAGCTAGATCAAACAATTGGAGTATTGGATTTGATTCAAGAGAAATCAGGTAAATTAAAATCAATATTGCTTCCCCTTTTTTTAGCAATCATAAAAGAATGCAATAAGATGTAACAGAAGCAATAAAAGATAAATTTTCATTGATTAAAAAACACAACACCAGAGGCGCAGATACATGAGCAAGAAGCAGAACAACCACAAACAACTGACAGACAAACAAGCAAAACAAACAAAATGAAAGACTAACAAAGGCACTCGCCAACCAACCATCAAAAGTATTCAACCTTATCAATCCTCTCACATCTTTCTTCAACCATAGCATTTTCTAGTCCAAGTATTCTAGTTAAACTAATGATTTCAGCTCTAAAAAATAACTTAGACAAAATTCTGCCATATGGAATGAAAGGCTTATGCTGATTTTTGGAGATTTCAACATAGTACTTCAGATGATTGAAGATAGCTTGAGGTAGGTTGACCTGGACATTGTACAATCTGAAGTAGATAAAGAGTCTATCATCATGAGACAAAGCATTTTTGGCTGCTCCTCGGGGTCAAAATGGTTAGCAGAAGTTGAAACCACATTTTGCCGATGGGAAGAAGCCCTCCAGGATTGTAAGGTTCATATCTGTTGAGAGAACCATCATGAATATTGATGAGTTCTTCAACAAAGGAGTAGCTCAGATGAAAATCTTCGACAGTAACCCTAGATTGAACACAGTTGATAACTTGAGCGATGGAGGTTGGTGTTATGAAGAACGGAACACAAAAAACAGAAGACCAGATAGAGTTGTTGTCATCACCAATTCTTGCATATATCCAGAATTCCTTTACAAGGACATGATAGATAGGTCCATGAAAGATTGCATAGTAGCCAGTGTTGCGGTGAAATTTGGATGTCAAGCTATTGATTAACTTGAATCTTAATTCATTTACAACCGGTCTTTGATTTATCCGAAGGAAAGGTTAAAGAAAGGAAAAACCTAAAGGGGAGAGATCTAAGGTTCGGGGGTTGGTTAAGATTAGGGAAGGTATTAGCACCCTAAACTTCCGTAGTACTCTACGGGAACCTTTTGTTTATTTTTTTTATTTATTTCATTAATTATTTTGCTTTAGGGTATATACAAAGGATTGAAAATTAAAAAAGACCTAGGGGTTAATTCTAAGTTTACTCGGCAAGACATCGCATCTTGTGCCTACATATCCTTACGGGAATGGAATCAGAGTAACTGTAGTTCCCCTCAAAAGGGAGGTTAGAGACTTCTTGACTGTGGTCAAGGTCTCAAGGGGGAATAAACGCATCTTAAGGACACGCTTACGTGGAGTGTAGAAACTCCAAATCTCTACGTTGAATTGTTAAGTGAATTAGGGTTAGATTAGGGATTCCGCGGCGGGAAACCCTAAAATGAGCACGGCGGCTCTTTGACCTAATGCTAGGGGTAAAATTGTAATTTGGCCTGCGGCGAGGCATTTGTGAAAATTAGGGTTTGTAGTTTGTAGTTTTGAGGATTTGAAATTGAATGTGTGAAGTTTTACGGACTATTGGCGCGGCGGCCAAACAGTTAGACCTAACCTTCGAATGTGTGCAATGTGACAGAAATAATGGTAAACGCGTGAGATAATTGAATCATGCAAACAGAGAGATAATGTCATAATTTAAACCATGCAAGCAGAAATTTAAAGGCAGAATTTAAAGAGCGATTGTTAAGTTCGCGAGGTTACATGAGAGGAGTAGATACAATATGATAATGAAATTTGAATTGAACAATAATAAAATAAAATAAATAACGGTTCTAGTTATTATTTTAAAAAAAAAGATTTTAGTTATTATTTTAAATTTATCTAAAAAAAAAGTTTTGCTTAAAAATAATAGGTTTTCATATTAATTTGGAAAAGATGTTAATGTTATTTATTTTAAAAAACAGATTTTTATATTATAACAAGTTTTAATAAATTAATGATAACAATAATAATAATAATAATGGTAATAATAATGATAATAATAATAAATAATGATAAATAATGATAATAATAATACTAATACTAATAATAATAATAATAACAAATAATGATAATAATAATGCTAATAATAATAATAATAATAAAGCAATAATGAATTTTAAATGTGCCAAATAACCCAAC